TTAGACACAGCACTCCTCAACCAGCAACCTCATGAAACGAGGAGGAAAATAAACGTAACCCCTCTTCGAAAATACCACTGGAGAAAAGGACATCTTACCTGACGAGTTTGGTCCAAGCAGCCTCTTTCTCGGGCTGTGACAGACTCACATACTTAGCTGCCTTTCATCGTCGCAAGGGGGTAGATGCGGGGCTTGAGAAGAAGAGAGAAGGTAAGACGTACCAGGGGCTCACGAGACGTGACCTTTGCGTCGTATAAAGACATTATTACACTGTATTCGCGGTCCCTTCTTTTTCTTTACTTTGAGTGTTTCCCTTGAGTCTCAACGGTATGTTTTGTGAGAATGGGCAAGTAGCAATAGAATGGGGCTCGCGAGGTTCAAGGCGGGGTCTGGATTCACTCCAAGATCGGGCAATTGGTGGGGTCGAGCCGAGGTGAGCTACGAATATTACTCGTCCAACTAAGTGGATTGATACGTCTACCCTCGGTGTTAAGCTCCGTCCCTTCCACAACATCCCATTCCCAAGTGTTGGTTGGACGGACCAGGGAGGCGTGAAAACTCCCCCGAGACAGGTATGGAGGTCGATGTTCTATTGCTATCACTGCCTTGTTTACCCTCTCCCCGGAATCCTCGATAAAATAGTTTTCCTCTAGCTACTCTTGGAGGGGAGATCCCGCGTTAGTGATTTCTGATGTACATAGCGCAAACTCGGGAAAGTTCCGGAATGCATTCATCACGGGGATAAGAGCGTCCAGATAGCATGAGGAGAAAGCCAGCTCGAACTCGAGCTTGGGCTCCATTCCATTAATTCATGGAAATACCGAATTAAATCCCCCCATATCCGGCCCCGATCCCGATCCCGTTCCGCCCTCTTCTCATCTCCCAACGACAACGCATCTTCCAACGCCGTGCGATATGCTAACGAAAGTGAAAAGAAAAAACAGACGACCGAACACCCCTATTTCCTATCCCTTATGATCCCTCCAGCTCCCTTTCCTCCCTATTCACAGCCCGCAATCTGTAGAAGAAAAAATCAGGTGTGTCGCGCCGCGGCCTGGGCGAACTGCTCCGCCTGTAACCTCTCCAGCTCCTCGAGCGACATGCCGCTCTGCGCGAACTTGTCGCCCCTCTTCTCGCGGCCCTTCTGCGTGTCCTTGTGCTCCTGCGCCGCGTCCATCACGGCGGGCACGTAGTCGGAGAAGCCCAGCTGCTCCAGCGCCTTGGTGATGTGGTCGCACGCGATGGTCTTCTTGGCCTCCTTCTCCGAGATCTCGTTGGCCTCGGAGGAGATGAGGGTGATGAACTCCACGCAGCACTCTATGAGGAGGTCGCGCGCCTCCTTGGCGAAGATGCACCCGCCCGAGGGGGGCAGGATCTCGGATACTATCTTCTGGACCGTCGCTGCGGGGTTTTGTTAGATGGTTACCTAGTCGGGCGGGGTTAGGGGTTGGGGGTTGGGGGGTTGCATACCCTTTGGGAGACTGAGGTCATCAGCGCCTATGACTCTTATGTTAGCTTTCTGCTTGAGTGGGAGAATGGAGAATAGGTGTGGACTAAAGTTCCTGCGACCAGAAAAAGAAACGAAAAGGGAAGAATGACTGCATGTGGGAGGGAGAGAGGCTCAAATGGCCAAAAAAAAAAGTGAAGATGATATGTTGGCCGCAGGTGAGGTCGATGGGTGAACCATATAAGTCAAGGGATCCAAGCGCCAAGCCACGTGGATCACCAAGCTTGTTTCCGGAGAGGAAAAGGACGCGAGGCAGCTGCCAGGGGAATATAGCAGTGGTTACACCACAAAGGGGAATGAGGATGAGGAGAAATAAATAAATAAATAAGCAGCACTTACCCCCGAGCTCGTGATCAGACATGATGGAATACAATAGATGTGATGTATCTTGCAACTGTTTTCGGCTTCGTGTGAAGACAGGGTGGATGTGGGACGGAGCGGAGTGGATAGGTGGGTGCTAAGATGCTATTGGACGCGGTCGTTGTGGTGGGGCCTTTGATCTCCACACGCGCAAGGATAGGTCCGATCGATTACAGAGGCGGCGATAGGCGGTCGGTGATGAAAACAAGGTAGAGAAGTATTCCCTTGTCGAAGTTTGAACGAGGGGAAAAAAAGTAAGGTGGTTATAGATGTAGTGAAAAAAAAGATCAAGTACTATTATGTGATAGGGTTCGGTCTTATTTCCTCAAGAAGAAATTATCGCGATTGTCGTTACCAGGTCGTAATTCTGACGAGGCAGAAAAAAAAAAGTCGGTGGGCGCGAAATCCGGTTCGGGCAGCGGTGCGGTAGGTATCAAGCTTGGAAAAAGCGGTTTCTCGAGAGGGGGGGCGAGCTCAGACCCGGGGAGCTTGTGCGCGGAGGGACCTCGAGGTTTTTAACCTCGAAGGAGGGGCGACACGGGTCCCTGCAGCTCAGGCAGACGGGAGTGATTGTCTTAGCATCGCCGGCTGGAACACCTGCCACCGGGTGGTGATACGTTCCCAAAGCCCAGCGCACGGACCATCCCATAAATTTTTGGTGGGGATTAAAAGAGATTTTTTTTCACGTCCATGGAGAGGCTTTCTTCCTTTCATTCCAACCTCCAGAACTGCCTTTTCCATCGCCTGGACCCAGGGACATGCGTCGGACTGCGGCAACGATCTGCCGACCAGCTCCTTTGCAATGATTTCATCTGCCTTTGTTTCACCGTCTAGGACCCAGTCCTATACTTTGGGAATGAAACCTCGTTAGGCACGGCTCGGCCTTCACCCTTTGTGTGAGGGCTGGGCTTTGACGCGGCGGCTTCTATGAATAGAAGCCGTCGCCCTGGCGCTAGTGGTATGCCTACTTCCATCATCTTGTACTGCGTTTCCCTCCCCCTACTATGATGATATATGTTGTCGCCCCAGACTTACGAGGCGAGAGGCTTCTATGGTGACTGACCTGTCCTATGCCAAACGGACGTATCTGAGTTACCTTCTTGACTTGGTTTTCGAGAACTCCTTGCTTTGAATCTTCGCTAACCAGCTTAGCAGTGACTAGACAGAGCTCGCTACTCTACATGTGCGATAAATCTTCCACTCTTCGTCGTGGTGCCGAAAAACACCATCCGAGTACAAGTGTACCTACGAACTGAAATTTTGGCACGACAACGCATTGAGGGCAGGCTATCGCCAGAATGAGATCTTTCATTCAAGACTTTTTCTAGCGCCGGCCTGCCCTCAATGCTTTAACCCAAAGGTAGGCATATTTGAATTCTTTTTTTTTGTTATTGTTTTTTTTTTAAAACAGGGTTTGTGATGAGCCCAGATTTTCCATGCTAATTCTGAACCCCACTGTGGATATTCAAATCGAGTCTTTTCATCTTTCGTCTGATCTAACCCATCAATTCTACCTCGCTGTTTCGAAGTCAAGTTTACGGACCTCCGCTAACAACTTCAAAAGTACAGATATTGCCATTGGCGTTGCTAGTCCCTGAACGATGCCAGCTCCGGCGCGGTTATCCTGCTCCCGTTAGCTTGCGCACTAGTGTCGACACGTGGAATTGGTCGATCGTACCTGAGGAACTTCCCGGTTAGGCTCCGGTCCGGGCCCACCACGAATCGCGCATACGCGTCCGCGATGGTCTCAGGCTTCAGAATTTCTCCCTTCTCGAAAGCCTCCGTGAAGGTCCGGCGTTGGTCAGGGTTCATCTCGTCCGCACTCTCGCGGATAAGGCGCTGCATGTCGGTGTCTATCCGCCCGGGGCTGATGGAGATGCTGGTAATGTCAGGCTCCTCGGCCGCGAGGTGGCCCGTGATGGAGTGGGCTGCGGCCTTGGAGCTCCCGTAGGCGCCCCAGGCTGTATAGAAGCCCGTGGCGGCGCCGGAGGAGACCCAGACGACACAGCCCTTGGACTTGCGTAGTGCCGGAATGGCCTCCTTGAGCTTCAGGGAAAGGCACGGTTAGGGTTGGCAGTGTGTCTGGGAGGGGCAAGGGATCCTTCTCACCAGGCCTAGTCCGCTGAAGACATTGACGTCGTAGTGTCTCTTCCAGTCCTCTATGTTGGTGTTTGCTATGCGCGTGATGGGTTCGAGAACTCCGTGGTTCACCACCACTCCGTCCAGTTGGCCAAATGCCTTGACGGCGAGATCGGTTACCTTCTTAGCCACCTACCCTGACATATTAGCTTAACTTGATAAAAAAACAAATTTCTCAATCTGTATCTCAACAAAATCTCTTGGTGTCCCGCTCGTGTCCCCCGTCCAGTCTAGCTTACCTCGGGTTCCGTAAGGTCTCCCGCAACGTACTCTACCAGCCCGGGATACGATGCCTTCACCTTCGCAAGGTCATCCTCGGACCGGGCCGTGAGCACGACGCGGTGGGACGACTTCAGGAGGGACGTGGCGATGGCAAGGCCGATGCCCCGGCTGGCACCTGTGACAATAACGACCTTTGACATTGTTGGGTTGTTCTTGGTTGTTCCGGGGTGGTGGTTTGTTCCTGATGTCTGCTCGGGGAGGTGTGTATGTGCGAGTGTGAGTGTGAGTTCCGTGGAGGGGTAGGAAGAGGATGGTAGATGTAATGGTGGGGTGTAGAAGAAATTCTCGGGCGCGGTCCCTGGAGCACGACAGTATCAGTGGGGCAATCGGATAGCCGATTGGCTGTTCGTCCTTCAGCAACGGCGGAGAATGCCCCATTTTACTCGTCACGACATCTTTGCGCGGAAGGCGATGTGTGCTTGAGGACGGAGCCGACGGCTATCTCGTATACCAAAGGAGAGCTTCTGCGGAGATGATACTCGTATTTGAGGGCGAGGGAAGCCTAGACTTGGCTCCCAGCTTCCTCCCTTCTCCCCCCTTTTTCTACGTACAAGTATGCGGCTCAACTCTCATGCTACAAGCTCTATGGGCTCCCCTTCAAACCGTCGCCTTGCATGAGGCCCCTCGCCCGCCCCCCAAACTGAGAGAAACAAAACCTTCGACCAGAAGAAACAAAAAAGGTGATATCAAAATGGTCAAAAATGTCAAAAAGTGGACACACCAGGAATCGAACCAGGGACCGCCTCTATTTTAGAGCCTTATTATGTGCTAAAGAGGAATTATACCACTAAACCATGCGCCCTATTTGATGTTAGAGAGGAGGCGCTATTCCGGCTGAGTTGGTTCTGCGGGGGCGGGGAGTAGGGAGGCTAGCCAGGAGCAAAGGGGGGAGACGAAGGAGTCGGGGGCTTGAGAAGAGAGAGAGATAGTTGGTATCCTGGGACTGGACTTCGCTGTGCATACCGTCATCAAAGTCCTGTCTTCTAAGACTCCTGTCTGGGAGCTGGGGAGCTCTCTCTGCCGATAAGGATGCATATGCTTCGGAGTTCGCGGCTGCTAGACTTACACGCCGATCAGAAATTAAGATGCGAATCTCGGACCCGAGTTCCGAGTTGGGGCGGAAAAACCAGCAACCCTCGGTCGGGCACGTTGCTATGCAATATAAAGGAGGAAGGATGGAAGATAAAAGGTTGTAGGTTGAAAGATGACATACACCACGAGTGGTGCGGGCGGCAGGCGCTTGTCACCTCTCGGCAGGGAAGACCCCGTGCAACAGACGTCAGCCCAACCAGGCAGACCAGGCACAATCACATATTTGATGAGTATAAGAGTTATTCATGAAAAAAAAAAAGGATATACGAGCTACAAGAATCAATTACCTCGAGGACGGAGATGAGCCACCCTAATCCCCACATTCCACACCAAACGCCGAGTGCCAAGCGCCAATAATGCAGAAGGCTACCTGCCCATCGACATTGGATGAAGCGTGGAGAGGATGCAGCCCTGCTCTGAGCAATCGAAGAGTACTCAGTCCAACTGCACAACACAGGTGCGGGGTTGATCGGTCATGCATATCGCGGCAGTGCTGAGAACGTGTGTCTGCCTTGGGCGTAACGCTGGCTGTTCAGCCAATTCCCACTTAAACCATGCCCCCCAGGCAGGCTCTCCCGCTCCCGCGTTTTCCTCTAGTCCTCCTTCATCAAACCCCAGGACACGTCGTGCTGGCGTGCGCTACCAGCAGACATGGTGGAACCCGTGGGGCTCGCTGTCGGAATCTTAGGACTCGCCGGCCTATTTAGCTCCTGCTTGGACGCCGCGGAGCGATTCGAATCCTGGAAGAATTTTGGGGACGAGTCACGTTTTCTGGGAAATCATTTCGAAGCCGAAAAGTTGCGCCTGAAGAGATGGGGAGAGGCCGTCGGATTCGACAAAGGGGTGCTGTTACCCGACCATCACGAGGCCCTTGATGATCCACGAGTAGAATCGAGGATTCGTGAACATTTATCGATCATCGAAAACACCTGCAACGGTGAGGACGACGCGGCTCCATCCGCGGCCGATATATCTACCTCGCGAGGCCTGCCCCGCAGCGTCCAGCCTCATCCGGGCACGCCATCCGAATCAAAGAGGCAGAGGGTGAAGTGGGCAATAAGGGATAAGGCGAAATGCACAGCGCAGGTCCATACGTTTGGACTTCTGGTGCAGGATCTTCACAACTTGGTACCTCCCGATGGCGCGAATGGTACTTGGGCGCATGCCGCGAAACCTCCAGATGCTTTCGCCGGCAGAGAGCTTTGGACTGTTGAATTTCGACGGATTCTAGACAGGATCGACGGAGAGCTCCATGGTAGATTCTCCCTCCCGTTCCACGTACTTCTCGGGCCCTACTAACTGACTGGGGTAGCCGAGAAGAGGAAAGACCTGCACACGTGGCTCCTGGGACGTGATCTTACCAACGAACTGTACGAAAACGCCATTCAAAAGAGACTAGATGGCACCTGCGACTGGATCTTGAGGAGGCCCTTGTTCCTCGACTGGGCCTCTTTCGACTTCCCGGATGGATCGGCTAAGCTTCTGTGGATCAACGGGCCGGCTGGTTTTGGAAAAACCGTCCTCTCTGCAAGGGTGATTGAGCACCTCTCCTCCTCGCCCGACCTCCATCTCGCACATTTCTTCTTTTCGTCCGACTTCGAGAGCCGTAGGGATCCTTACGTGGCGATAAGATCATGGCTCTCCCAACTGATGTCTCGCCCAGCTGTGTTCGAGCTGATTCTCGAGGGATGGGGAACTCAATGGGGAGCCCAATATGGCAAGGCGTCCACGCGGGCTGAGGTTGTCAGGATCTTCCAAGAAGTCGTACATGCCGTTCCTTGCTGTACGTTTGTCATGGATGGGCTGGATGAATGCACCGGGGTGGTACAAGACTGGAGCGTTGACGACACTAGTTCCGTGTTAACATTTCTCAAGACGATCCAGCTAGCTGTTGCCGGTACAACCACCCGGATCTTGGTGACTAGCCGCGATGAACCCGATATCCGGCACGGCATGACCCAACACGCAGCCGTCACGGTTTTGGAATGCAAGGTCACTCTAGAGGACGTCAAACGCGATACGGAAGTATATTCTAGGAGCATCGTCGACAGGAAACTGTCCAACAAAGATGAGTCGGTGAAGGATGAGATCTCTCGGAAGCTGGCTGGCCGGTGCAACGGTCAGTTCCTGTGGGTGAAGCTGCAGGAGCCTTCACTCCGAAGCGGGAAGAACAAGAAACAGCTTGAGGCTGCCATTGATAAGACTCCGGCGGAACTTGGACCTCTCTATGACCGGAACTGGGAGAGGATACTGGGCCTCCCTGAAGAGGAAAAAGCGCGAGCCTTCTCGCTGCTGCGCTGGGTGGCATTTTCCGTACGGCCGCTGACGGTTTATGAGATCACCGAGGCGCTGCTCATTGACATTGACTACGACGACCTGCCGGTGGACGAGATGCCAGACTCCGTCGATCAAGACTACATCGATAGCGAGATACTTGGCGTCTGCGGATCACTTATGGAGGTTCGGAGTGTGGCGTCAGAGTGCAGCGCTGGGTTGAAGACAGTGCATCTCACCCATTTCTCCGTCAAGCAGTATTTCCTCCACAGGATGTCGGACAGAGGAAGCCTCCTATCTGCGAACGAACGACTAAGATCCTCGAGCGAAGCGGCTCATAACACCGAACTCGCCAGGATGTGTCTCCGCTATGTAAATATGAAGAGCGTCTGGACAGAGGGTCCCCATGAGGACAAAGGTCAGATTCCGAGGTCATTCCGAGACTACGCAGCGTCATCGTGGCATCGACACGCGACCGCAGGCGATCTAACTGATGCCGAGATGGTTCGGCTCACAAACGAGCTATTTGACACGGAAAATCAAAACTGGCATTCCTGGAGAGCATGGTTTGAACTGAGCGACCAGAGGAAGTGGATGGGGAAAGCAACAAGTGAATCTCCAGCAGCTGGTCCTTCCTTTTACGCAGCGTGGCTTTCCTTGGCGGGAACAGTTAGTTTCCTTATCAAGGAACGGAAGTACAGGGTGGACGACAGAACACCTACGGGAATAACCCCGCTAGCCGCCTGCTGCATTAGTGGGAGCGTGGAAATCGCGAAGATGTTGCTTGAGGAGGGATCCGACCTCACTATCACGACTGATGATGGGTGGATACCACTGAACATAGCCTCTCGGAATGGGCATGTCGAAGTGGTTAAGCTACTTCTCAACAAGGGAGCTGACCCTAATATTACAGATAAAGAAGGATGGGCATCACTGAGCTTAGCCTCCTATCATGGGCATGTTGAGGTAGTTAAGCTGCTTCTTGACAAGGGAGCCAACTTCACTGTCAGAACTGTTGGTGGGTGGACACCACTATACCTAGCGTCTTATCGTGGGAATGCTGAGGTGGTTAAGCTACTTCTCAAGGGCGGAGCAAATGCTGAAGCTAAGGATGATTTTGGACAGACGGCACTTTTCACTGCCTCTGAGGACGGGCATACCGAGGTCGTGAAGGTACTTCTCGAGGAGGGAGTAAATACAGAAGCTAAGGATGAAAGTGGATGGACAGCACTTTTAATAGCCTCCAAGAATGGGCATCTCGAGGTGGTCAAGCTACTTCTCGAGGGCGGAGTAAATACTGAAGCTACAGACAATGCTGGATGGACGGCGCTTCTCACTGCCTCTGAGAACGGGGGTAACAGGATGGTTAAGCTACTTCTCGAGAAGGGAGCAAACGCCGAAGCCAAGGACAACACTAGACGCACGGCGCTCTTCCATGCATCTGCTAAGGGGCAGATGGAAGTCGTACAGGCGTTGCTGTCCTGGAAGGTTGCGGTGGGCGACAAGGACCGGTTCGGATCAACGCCGCTCTTTGCAGCCACAAGGAACGGGCAGGAGGGGGTTGTCTCTCACCTTCTTGGCGTTGAGGGTGCCTGCGCCGACTTCTACGATGGCTTCGGTCGGAGTCTGCTCTGGTGGGCCAAGAGGAGTGGGAATGCCGAGGTCGCCGAGGCCGTGCTACAATTTGCCGAGAGAAGGGGTATCCAACTCTGCGGCGACGACTTGGCCGCGGAGCCCAGCCCCATGGCAAACGACTCCCCGTGGTGGTGGTGCGATGTCTGCACTCGCCCCATGTCGGCTGCTAGGACACGCTATTCTTGTCTTCTCTGTCATGATTTCGACCTCTGTCTGGAATGTCATGATATGGGCGCCTCGTGTCTAGATGAATCGCACGAATTGGTAGTTGGTGTTGACGGATAGCACGAATTCCCTAGGCGTGAGACTGGAACGGAGAGAGGACATAGGTTGGTTAGGCATATAAATGGTGTGTTTCAAGCTTCAGGACATGCCCTCCAGTGCCTCGAGATTCTCTGAGGTTGCTTGGGTGACGGGGCGGGCTGTTTTCTACAATAGGCTAATTAGAACTTGATCTACTATCTCGTTTATTGGGTAGTAACAGGCAGCCGAGTTTCGGACGGTAATACCAAGTATTAGGACTTGGGACAGGCGGAAGTAGCTCCGCTCATATTATCACTCTTTCAAAGGGAACAAGTTGCGTAGCGAGGTTGTTGCGCGGGGTCATGGTGCCGGTCACGGTGTCGGAGGGTCCGGTCGGTTTCCGTAGTATGTACCAGTATTATTCCACGGGCGAATCCATGACGGAAACCCGGGACGGGGAGAGATCCTTGTAAGAGTGACACACGCATGAGGTCATTCAACCAACTCCTCCACACTCCTCCACCCAGGGAAGAAAAAGAACAAACCTCTCACAGCCTA